GGCGTGGCCTGAGGCCGAGCGAGACTGCAGGCGCGGGAGGTGGTGCCGCTGAAGCAGAAAATGGCGTCTTCGGATGAGCGAAGTCTGTGACGCGGCGAGGTTTTTGCCGCTGGCGGAGGCCGCCTTCCCAGGACCGGAGAAGGTGCAGGTGATTGGCACGGGAGGGGCCTTCCATGTTACATTTGTTTTCGGTTTCAGTACTGTTCTGTTTGCGTCATCATGTTAAAAAAAAGCTATTTTTTTAAACATGTCAATGAATATCTCCATAAATCGCCTTGTTTTACTGATTTAATTGCTAACCCGTGTTTGCAGTGTACTGTTTCTGGGCTGGGTTGTTTTTTTTCTCTCACAGAGTTGCATCTCAATTTTTAAATCGTGAACTACGTAAGCCCTAAACAGGTTGTATGAAACGTTTATTTGGTAAAACGGCCAGTGCGATGCAAAAATTTCAAGGTCGTGAAAGACAAAAGATGAAGAACTATTCAAGATTGAGGGAATTAATGGGGTATTTAACGAGTCATAATAACTAACTGCAATGTGTGATCGTGGGTTGGATCCTGGAGCAGAAAAAAATTAAAACTCGGGCTTTTTCCTCATAAAATTCTCTCTTTTACTGTAAAAGATGTTAATGGGAAAACGGGCGAAATTTGACTAGTTCTGCAGATTAGATGTTAGTACTGTTAGTTTTTTGCTTCCAATAATTGTGGCGTGGTTACGAAAGAGAATATCTTAGTAGTACGAGCGAAAATATTTAGTGCTCCCATCGTGTAAGAAATTTACTCTCAAATAGTCGAAAGTAAAATGTTAAATTTGGGATATCGGGATGAAGGGCGTACGGGAGTGTTTGTATTGTTTTTGCAGTTCTTCGGAGCATTTCAAAATAAAAATCTTGAACAATAAAACAATTTTTAATTCAACACGCAGGTTAAGATTCGGACTTTGCCTTTAAATACTTCTGTGCACCTCGCAAATGAACCGGGCCCCTCCGCGCCACAGGACACTATTATCCTGAATTCTTAATTTAATGTTTTTCCACCACCCCATGCATTCATAAATAGTATTTGTGGTAAAAAAGAAAATAGTATTTGTGGTGCGAGCTTTCATTTTGCGGAGACTCCATATGAAATTGTATTGGAGGCATACCGTG